AATTTTTTCCCTCCCGGCATATGCTCTGATTTAGCACTGTAAATTTTTCAGAGGACCCAACTCTGACAGCCCCTGGTGATTTTCAAAGTACCACAAGCCAGTGGTTAAAAATTGCATTGACTTGGAAGTTCAGAGGGGCACAATGGAAGCCTCTTTCCCTATTCATGGAGCTCCAGTGTGGTGGAAGAGAAAAACACACACGGACTGGATTGAGGGAAAGGAGGAATTCAATGAATCCTGGTGGACAGAACTGGTTTCTACTGAGTTCAGAGTTAAACTCAGCATGTGCTGGGGTCTGTATTCATGTTGTGATTTAATCTGTAAAGATTCACAGACCATCCGGCCACTTTTTGCAAAAAAAATCATATTCCTGGTTGATTTTTTTTTATTTAAAGATTAAGACAATTTTCCCCCAACTTTCACCAGCCAAATTAAAGCTTGCCATTCCTCTCATTAAAATAAATTTACATCTGCAATAAAAGGCCGGGTTGGATTTCAAAGAAAAACAATAACCATATATGTAGTGATATTTATCTTTCGGTCTGAGAGCTTCTTAATCTAAAATTTAAAGCAAATGAACATAACTGAAGAGGACATTTTAAAATATTTTTGTCTTTTTTTCTTCTGCCCAGTCAGTTCTCCTGTCTCTCCTTCTATGCCATAAAATTGGCTTCATTTTTCACAGTGATGGTTACCCCTTCTCAGAAGCATTTCCATAAGTGAATGAGTCCTAAAACACAGGGAAATGCTTCTGACTTCAATCCAGCCCTGTGGTCTTGTGCCTAGCAGACTTCAACTCTATAGGATAGTTGAGAAATAGTTCCTTTGCAATCTATGGCCTTGAAATTCCAACAATCTCCAAAAAAATTTAAAAATTGAATTCTTCTTCCTCGAAATCCTCCCCTCAGAAGTGTGCAAAAAGTGATATTTGCTACGGACGTCTCTGCACTTAAGAGGCAAGATTAAGCTTTTCCTATAATCAATTATTCTCATCTTCTATTAAACTGAGATGGGAATACCTTTCAGATCTCCTATCTGAACCCCAGCCTCAGCATTGCTGAACTTGTCCCTAATCTTCTGACATTTGTAGCATTAGACAAGTCCTGGAATGCCAGAAGTTGAAAGGGGGAGAAAAACCCAAAACCCTCTTTGCAATGATTTCTTTTCTATCCTTCTTGTTCTCTTTAGGAAAAAGTTATACTGTGTCTCTAATCAACCCGAAATTTTCAGCCTGGCTTCACTCTGTGGTGATCTTATAGCACGTCAGGTTTATGAAAGTTCAGTGCCGATTATAGGTTGTTATTTCTTAAAACACTCAAATAACTCCAGCACCTGCAGCTTTAGTGAAATATGTGATTTCAGTGGAGAATGAGAAGGCTAGGAGGGCTTCAGGGATGAAGTTTAAAGAGGATTTTTTTTTCTTCCCCTAAAAACCAGCCCCTATCTGCCCACTTAGTCCTTACTTTGTATTCTGCCTATCTGTGTAAAAGGAAGTGAATGCAGACTGCAAGCTGCACATATCAATTATATGTGTGGTTTATTTTTAAATACCTTTATCTCATCAATTTTTTGAGCTGCTAGGTATATTTTTCTGAAGTCATCAATCTACTCCTTAGAGTGTTCCTATTTTTCCTGTGGAGCTCAGCATCTCTTGTGTAAAATATTACAATTGTTCATAAACCCTGTTGGCTCATGGGTTTATGGCTTTTCTTGGTGCAAAGTGTCCTTGATCGAAACACAATGCTCTTGTCTAACTGTGAAATAATCATAACCCACTAACCGGTTCTAATCAAACAGCAAGGGTACTTCAGTGGAATATAGTGTGTATGGGGAGGGGGCCGTTCTACGTGTTTGATGTTTTAAATCAAGAACCCTGGAATTCAAACACACAGCCATATCAGTGACGTTAGCACACTGAAAAGAATGGTCTAAGCTATGAAGTTGTTCTTTTTGCGGTGACTCTCGAGGGCGAATATGGCTGTGTGTGTTTTTGTGAGTTGTACAGGTATTATTTCCCTTTGGGGGCCAAATCTCTGGGTGTGTTTTAATGGTTATATGAATGCTTAAAAGGAACTTGAAGGACAATGAAGTCTGTAGTCAACTGTTCTACGATCTAGAAGCATAGTCTCAGAAGTCTTTGTCTGTGTACATAGACAAATGTGCATCTGATACATGTGTGCCTACACGTCTGTGCAGAGGCTGTGCACAAGGGACTAAGAGGATGACTCCACCTGTCCATCAGCGGGCAGAAGGGTCTCTTCCCTCTTACCAGGACTGGCTGTGTGGCAGGACGTTGGCTTGCAACTGAGCTAAAACCAACCAGAGAGGATAAAGTTGAGAAAAATTTATTTTAATTGCGTCATGACAATGAGACGAAGTCTACTTCTGCTTCTCAGCATCCGAGATGCTTTATTTAAGCAATTAAAATGTCAGGCCACAAACCTATGAGATGTTAACCCTACAGGGAAAAGATAAGACATCGAAACGGCTCTTTTCGACATAAATAAATAAATAAAGATGACCTCCCAAACCGAGCGAGCGTTCAGAGTCGATTAGGGGAAGGGCTTCCCATCGCCCGGATCTGGCCAAATCTTTCGCTCGGAAAATGCCTGGAAAGCTCAGGTCGAGGCAGCCTTGCCCACTTCCACGCCCTACCCCTCTGCAAAGAAACCGTGGAACTTTTCTCTTTCTTTGGCTTTGTGGGCACCAAGACGCGCCGGGAGCGCCCCGCTGGTGCGCGAGCGGCGGCTTTCGTGGCACCGCCAAGTTGCGAGAGGCGAAGTCCTCGGTTCCATCCGCGCCTCTCGCGGAGCCTTTAAGAGGCGTTGAGTGCGTGCGCGCAGCGCTCGTCTCCCCGCCGGGGCGGAAACCTCGGGTGCAGGGCGCGGGGAGAATCGGGGGCCGCGCTCCCGGGGCCGGCGCGGGCCCATCCCCCGCTCGGCGGCCGGGG